GTCCACAACTGAAGACAAAATTAAAGCAAGCACGCCCCTCTACTATGCAGGATGCAATGGCCAGAGCTCTTGAATTCGAATCCTACGTTAAGTCCAGCACAGAGGTACCAAGGTTGGTACAGTCATCAGGATTCAAGGCCAGAAAAGGGCAGCTTTCAGAGAAGTTTGAGGGACTTTGCTGGTACTGTAATAAACCTGGGCACAAGAGAGCTCAATGCAGGCAACTTCAACACAGGGGAGATGCCACAGCAGGAAAAGCTGCTACCCAGAAAGGTTGTTGGAACTGTGGAGAGCAAGGACATATGAGGAGCCAGTGTAAGAAGAATACTACCAATAAGTCAGCCTCGAAGAAACCAGTAGTGGTTCGTGTTGAGGGATGTCCACCAACCCCCACTGTGAAAGTCCCAACAGCTAAGTGTAAAATGGCAAGCACACAGTGTTTACATGACAGGAAAGCTGGATGGCCAAAAGTGCAACTTTGTCATATATTCTGCATCTCAGCAAATCCTTATGAGTATCAAGGTGCTAGATTACAAAGGAGTACCAGAAGCCAAACAGAAGCTCTGTGGCGTGACAGGACACTATGCAAGGTTGTGTGGACCAGTGTGGGTAACTATTGAGCTCATGAGCATTAAAGACAGACACAAAGTATACTTGGCTGACATTGAAGACCAATGCATATTAGGGTTGGAATACATACTACCGAGGAAGTGTGTGGTTAACTTGGATAAAATAACGTTTGGGAACAGCAAAGGCCAAACTTCGGTAAGTGTTAAAAGAGAGGTTGAACTAACCAGGTGCCATCTAGCTGAAGTCAAAGTGACTGAAAGAGTTGATGGTGATGAAGTGGAACCAAGTATAGATATTAAAGCAGAACAGGAGAAATACCAAGATTTGAAGCCAATAATTGATTTTCTACAAGCAAGTGTTTTGTGCCTTGCTTTGGAGAAGGTGTCTAGCTTAAGCCCTGTGACAAAACTATTGGGCACAATGGGACCAGTTGAAGCTTGAAAATGGCAGTCTTGTCCACAGATGGGAAACTGCAGATGGGAAAATGACTACCTGGCAAACGGTTATACCGAGAAAGTTATGGGAAGTTATGCTGTGTCAATCCCATGATAG